CCCCCCATACCCCATTGGTGACCCCAATACATTTTCTTGCCCCCCCTCATTGCTGCGGTGACTCAGGGTGGGGGCGTTTGGGGAAAAGCAGCAGCCCCCCCCCCAGCAGTGGCGGGGGGGGGGTCAGAGCCCCAGTGGGGGACTGGTGCTGCCAACTGGGAGCACTGGGCAGAGGAAACCCCAAAAATCAGAGCACACAGGGGGGGGGCGAAGGGAAACCAGCAGGAGGACGGGGGGGGGGGGGGCAAAAAAAAGGCACAAAACACGGGGGGGGGCACGGCCCCAGCCCCCCCCACCACGCAGAGAAGAGAGGAGGCAGCGCTGGGTGGAGGTGTTTATCTACGGTGGCGAGAGAAAAATAATTAAAAAACAAAACCCAAACCCAAAACATGTAAAAATGAGGGGGGGGGGGAGGCTGAAACCATCGGGGCTGCAGGAGCCCGGCTGCAGCCCCCCCCCTCCCCAGGGGGGAGCGGCACCACAGCCCCCCCCCCCCCCCAGGACCCCCGCTGTGGGCTCCCCAGGTGCAGTGGGGCCGTGGGGGGGTCGCAGCCCCCTCCCCACTGCCCCCCCCCCCAAGCAGTGGGGACGAAGCTTTGGGGTGGCGGCGGTGAACCGGGCGTCTGTACAAGGGCAAGGTGCCATGGGGGGGGGGGAATAAAGCCAAAAAGAGGGAAAACCAAACCAAAACCAAACCAAAAAGCCAGCCCCCGGGGTGGGGGTGCCGCGGGGGGGGCTCAGGGGATGCCAAACTGTACAACCAGCTCTTCTTTCGCATCCACGCGGATCTGGGAGAGGGCGCTGAAGGCGTAGGCGGCTATCCGGGACACCTGGGGGGACAGGGGGCAGCGGGGGGAAAGGGGGTGGGGGGGGAAAGAAAGGGGAAAAAATGGGGAGAGATGGGGAAAAATGGGAAAGGGAAAAAATGGAGGAGGGAAAGAGAAGGGAGAGAGATGGAAAAGGGAAAAAGAAATGGGGAGAAGTGGGAAAAGGGAAAAAAAATGGGAAAGAAATGGGGAGAGATGGAAAAGGGAAAAATAAAGGGAGAGAGATGGAAAGGGAAAGAAAGGGGGAGATGGAAAAGGGGAAAAAGGGGAGAGAAATGGAGAGAGATGGAAAAAGGAAAAATAAAGGGAAAGATGGAAAATGGAAAAAAATGGGGAGAGATGGAAAAGAAATGAAGAGATGGAGAAGGGGAAAAAGGAATGGGGAGTAGGAAAAGGGGAAAAAAGGGAGAGATGGAAGAAGGAAAAATAAAGGGAGAGAGATGGAAAAGGGAAAAATGGAGAGAGATGGAAGAGGGATAAAGAAATGGGAAAGAAACGGGGAGAGATGGAAAAGGGGAAAAAAGGGAGAGAGATGGAGGAGTGAAAGAAAGGGAGAGATGGAAGAGGGAAAAATAAAGGGAGAGAGATGGAAAATGGAAAAAAATGGGGAGAGATGAAGGAGGGAAAGAAATGGGAAAGAAATGGGGAGAGATGGAAAAGGGAAATATAAAGGGAGAGAAATGGAAAAGGGAAAAAAATGCGGAGAGATGGAGAAGGGAAAAAGAAATGGGGAGGGATGGAGGAAGGAAAGAAAGGGGGAGATGGAAAAGGGAAATATAAAGGGAGAGAGATGGAAAGGGAAAGAAAGGGGGAGATGGAAAAGGGGAAAAAATGAGGAGATGGAAAAGGGAAAAAGAAATGGGGAGAGATGGAAAAGGGAAAAATAAATGGGGAGAGATGTAGAAGGGAAAAATAAATGGGGAGAGATGGAAGAAGGAAAGAAATGGGAAAGAAATGGGGAGGGATGGAGAAGGGAAAAAAATGGAGAGAGATGGAGGATGGATAAAGAAAGGGAGAGAGATGAAAAAGGGGAAAGAGAGGAGAGAGAGATGGAGGAAGGGAAAAAAGGAGAGATGGAAAAGGGGAAAAAATGGGGAGATGGAGAAGGGAAAAGAAATGGGGAGAGATGGAAAAGGGGAAAAAAAGGAGAGCTGCAGGAGGAGGCCCCATCCCCGCTGCCCCCCCAGGAGCTGGGAGCTGTGGGGCTGGCAGCGGGCTCTGTATGGCCGCAGGGCTCCCGGGGAGGTGACCCCGAGCTGCCACCCCCAGCACCCACCCTGGGGGGGGGAAAAATCTCCCCCCCTTCACCCCTCACCTGCTGCAGGTCTGCGAAGGGCACGGGGTCGCTGGCGAGCACCTGGTGGGGCTGGTTGGTGAGCGAGGGCAGCAGCGGGAGCTTCTTCCAGTGCGTCAGGCTGGAGCTCAGCATGGCCAGGCGCGTGCTGCGGGCAGGGGGGGGGCTCAAAAACACGCACAGAACCCCCCCCAAAAAAAAAAAAATAAGGTACAGGGCAGGGACCCACCTGTACTGCCTGGCCCTGTCCATGTACTCGTGCTGCTCCATCCCCTGCGAGTCCGCTGCCGACACGTCGATGATGTTGCTGCAGGGAGAGGAGACAGGGAGGGGTCGCCCCGAGCCCCCCCCCCCCCACAGGGACCCCCCCCAGGTGCCCACAGCACCCCCCTGGGGCTGGCGGGGGGGAGGGACGGGGGACACAGGTCCTGAGCCAGCGGAGATGGGGCTGGAGGAGCCACTGAGGGAGGGTGAGGGGAGAGGCTGGAGGCTGCAGGGGGGGCTTCAGGGAGGAAATTGGGGGGAGAAATTAATTAATTGGGGGGAGAAATTAATTGGGGGAGAAATTAATTGGGGGGAGAAATTAATTGGGGGGAGAAATTAATTGGGGGGAGAAATTAATTGGGGGGAGAAATTAATTGGGGGGAGAAATTAATGGGGGAGAAATTAATTGGGGGAGAAATTAATTGGGGGAGAAATTAATTGGGGGAGAAATTAATTGGGGGAGAAATTAATTGGGGGAGAAATTAATTGGGGGAGAAATTAATTGGGGGAGAAATTGGGCCCTCTGAGGGTGCTGAGGGCCTGGCCCAGGGGGGCTGGGGGTGCCCCCAGTGCCCGTCCCCAAGCCCCAGGCCGTGTCCCCGCTGCCCCTCAACGCCCCCAGGGATGGGGGCACCCCCGGGGCCGCCCCCCCCAGGGCCTGGGCACCCCAAATTCTCCCTCTCATCCACCCCAACCCCCCAGGGGGAGGGGGGCGAGCACCCCCCTGGCCCACTCCAGGCTGACCCCTACGGATCCCATTGCAGGAGCAGCTCCAGGGGCCCCCCTCGGCTCTGGCCCCCCCGAGCCGTGCAGAAAGCCCCCCAAGCCCCCCGGCTGGGGTCTCACATGGCGGTTTTGGCCAGGATGGAGGACAGCATGGCCTGCTCGTCGGTGCGCGCCGCCGGCAGGCTGTGGTAGCTCTGCTCCGCTCCGTTCAGCACCTTGCTGGGGGGGCTGGCAGCCGGCTCCAGCAGCCGCTTCGTCTCTTCTTCCTGGGGGGGGGTAAAAAAACAACGGGGGGGGGGGCCAAAAATCAGCCCCAGCAGCCCCCAGCCCCCATTTTGCTCTGCCCAGACCCTGTGGAAGCCCCCAGCCCCCTCCAGCACCCCCGGGGGGGGGGGGGCGGTACTGGGGGGGCTTCCAGCAGGACCAGGGGGGGCTGCAGCCCCCCCCCACAGGCAGGGCAGAGGCTCCAGGCACCCCGGGGGGGTCCAAAATAATAAAGCGAGGACGGGGGTGGGGGACAGTGACCGGGGGGGGCCAAACGCAACCGGGATGGGGGCGGCGACCACCGGGGGGCCCCGCGGCCTGGTTGGGGCCTGGGGTCACAGCCCCCCCCCTCAACCCCTACAGGCCCAGACCCCCCGGGAGCCGCTGAGGGGTTTCGGGGGGGCTCGGGCCCAAGCCCCGGTCTCGCCCCGGTCTCCCCCCGGTCCGTCCCGGTGCCCCCCCCCCGCACCTGGTCGGAGGCCTCGGCCTCGCTGCTGTAGCAGCAGCCCATGGCGAGCCGCAGCAGGGCCCTGCCGCCCGCGCCCCGCCCGCCGCCGCCACTGCCGCCGCCGCTTCCGGTCCCGTGACCCAGCATTCCGCCCCGCCGTCACGTGGGCCGCTAGGAGCCAATGGGGAGAGGGGAAGAGGGAGCCGCTCCCCCGCCCAGCCGCGGGGCGGTGGGGGGGGGGGTCACGTGAGGGGCAGCCAATCAGAGAGGGGGAGGTGGACACGCCCCCCTCTCGTGGATGGGCGGGGTGGGCGCGTGAGGGCTCGGTCACGTGGAGGCGCGGTGGAGGCGGGGCCTCGTGCGGGGGGGGGGCTACCGGGCACCAGTGACACCAGTGACACCAGGGCTCCCAGCCCAGGGCTCCCAGTGCTCCCAGTGACCCCATCGACCCCATCCCAGTGCTCCCAGTGCTCCCAGTGACCCCATCCCAGTGCTCCCAGTGCCCCCAGTGCTCCCAGTGACCCCATCCCAGTGCTCCCAGTGACCCCAGTGACCCCATCCCAGTGTTCCCAGTGACCCCAGTGCTCCCAGTGACCCCATCCCAGTGCTCCCAGTGACCCCATCCCAGTGCTCCCAGTGCTCCCAGTACCCCCAGTGCCCCCCATCCCAGTGCTCCCAGTGACCCCCAGTGCTCCCAGTACCCCCATGCTCCCATCCCAGTACTCCCAGTGACCCCATCCCAGTGCTCCCAGTTCCCCCAGTGCCCCTATTGCCCCCACCTCTCCCTTTGCCCCAGCACTCCCAGTTCTCCCAGTGTCCCCAGTTCTCTCAATGCCCCCAGTGCCCCCAGTATCCCCAGCTCCCCCAGTGCCCCCCACAGCTCCCAGTGCCCCCAGTATCCCCAGCTCCCCCAGTACTGCTAGTTCCCCCAGTGCCCCCAGCACTACCAGTTCCCCCATTGCCACCAGTTCTCTCAACGCCCCCAGTATGCCCAGTAACCCCCAGTACCCCCCCATTGCTCCCAGTGCCCCCAGTTCTCTCAATGCTCCCAGTGTTCCCAGTATCCCCAGTTCCTCCAGTGCCCCCCAGCACTCCCAGTGCCCCCAGCACTCCCAGTGCCCCCAGTATCCCCAGTGCTTCCATCCCAGTGCTTCCAGTGCCCCCAGCAACCCTCATTGCCCCCAGTATCCCCATTGCTCCCAGTACCCCCCAGTACTCCCAGTATCCCCAGTAACCCCCATTGCCCCCAGTGCCCCCCAGTACTCCCAGTATCCCCAGTTCCCCCAGTCCCCTCCCCTGGGGACCGGGGGCCGTGCTGTGGGGCTGCCCCTGCCCCCCCATTCCCTGCCCCCCCCCCCAATTCCCTGCACCCCACGTTGGGCCAAGTCCTGGGGGGGGCCCTGGGGGTGACCCCGGGGGTGACCCGTCCCCAGACCCCGCCTGACCCCTGACCTGACCCCTGACCCCCCCAAACTCTCTGACCCCCCCCTAGCCTCCCCCATGCTCCCCCCCCATGGCCACCTCCTGCTCTTTTTGGGGGGCTGCGGGGTGCCCCCCAGCCCGGGGGGGTCCTGCCTGCCCTGACATGGGGGCAGGGGGTGGGCTGCGGCCCCCGCAATTTTTGGGGTTAAACAACCCCAGATTGGGGCAGGGCGCATCCAGGAGGGTGGGCGCAGACACCCGGGGCACCGGTGGCCCCAAAGTCCAGTGTCCGTCCCCAAAATCCAGCATCCAACCCAAAATCCATTGTCCATCCCCTAAAATCCAGCCCCCCCCCCCCAAAATCCAATGTCCATCCCCCAAAACCTGCATCTGCCCCAAAATCCAGTGTCCATCCCCCCCAAATCCGGTGTCCATCCCCCAAATCCAGCATCTAACACAAAATCCAAGTCCATCCCCTAAAACCTGCATCCACCCCCAAAATCCAGTGTCCATCCCCTCAGATCCAGTGTCCATCCCCCCAAATCCAGCATCCCTCCCCCAAATCCAGCATCCATCCCTCAAATCCATCATCACTCCCCAAAACCCCCATCCACCCCCAAAATCCAGTGTCCTCCCCCCAAAATCCAGCGTCCATCCCCCAAATTCAGCATCCAACCCCAAAATCCAGTGTCCATCCCCCCAAATCCAGCACCCATCTCCAAAATCCAATGTCCATCCCCCAAATCCATCATCCTTCCCCAAAATCCCACATCCATCCCCCAAAACCTGCATCCACCCTCAAAATCCAGCGTCCATCCCCCAAATCCATCCTCCAACCCAAAAATCCAGCATCCACCCCCAAATCCATTGTCCACCTCCTCAAATTCCAGCATCCACCCCCAAATCCATCCTCCATCCCCAAAATCCAACGTCCACTCCCCCAAATCCAGCACCCATCCCCTAAAATCCAGCACCCATCCCCTAAACCCGCATCCACCCCCAAAATCCAGCATCCAACCCCAAAATTCAATGTCCATCCCCAAAATCCAGTGTCCATCCCCAAAATCCAGCACCCACCCCCAAAATCCAACATCCATCCCCTAAAACCCACATCCACCCCAAATCCGGTGTCCATCCCCAAAATCCAATGTCCACTCCCCAAAATCCAGCACCCATCCCTCAAAATCCATCATCCTTCCCCAAAACCCGCATCCATCCCCAAAATCCAATGTCCATCCCCCAAAATCCACGTCCACCCCAAAATCCATTGTCCATCCCCCCAAATCCAGCATCCATCCCCCCAAATCCGTTGTCCATCCCCAAAATCCAACGTCCACTCCCCAAAATCCATCACCCATCCCCAAAACCTGCATCCGCCCCAAAATCCAGCGTCCATCCCCCAAAATCGGTGTCCATCCCCCAAAACCCAACATCCAACGCAAAAAATCCAGCATCCACCCCCAAAATCCAGCACCCACCCCCTAAAATCCCACACCCATCCCCCAAAACCTGCATCCACCCCCAAAACCCATCATCCATCCCCCCCAAATCCATCCCCCACCCCGTGCCCGCAGCCCCCCAGCCCCCATCCCGGTGCCCCCAGCCCCAGTCCCGGTCCCCCAGTCCCCGCGCCCACCCCGCAGCCCCCCCACACCCTCCCAGCCCCCCCCACCCCGTAACCCATTCCCCGTAACCGGAGCCGCTGCGGCGCTGGCATCAATAATTGATCGATGGCATCAATAATTGATCGGGGAGCAGAGCCCGGGGGGGGGGGGAGACTGGGGGCTCGGAGACGCTCGGAGCACCGGGACAGGTGGGAGCCCCCCGCTGCGGGCAGAGAGACCCCAAGAGCCCCCGAGCTGGGTATGGGGTCAGGGGGGCTGGGGGGGGGTGAGGGGTGTGGGGTTGGGGCTGGGGGAGCCCCCGAGTTGGGTATTTGGGGGCGGGGGGCGGGGGGCAGGGGGAATGGAGGGGGCTGTGGGGTGCATGGAGGGGGTTGTGGGGTGGGGGGAACCCCCAAGGGACCCCATGTTGGGTATAGGGGTGGGGGGGTGAGGTGGGGGCATGGAGGGGGCTGTGGGGTCCAGGGTTGGGGCTGGGGGAGTCCCCAGGAGACCCCGAGTTGGGTATGGGGTCGGGGGGATGGGGGGGGGGGCTGTGGGGTGTGGGGGGTGTGGGGTACTGGGGGGGGGCTGCATGTTGCAGGGTGTGGGGTGTGCGTTGTGGGGGGCAGGTTTTGGGGTGTAGGGTCAGCAGAACCCGTGTCTGTCCACGCAGCCATACGGGGGGCTGGTTTTGGGGTACTGCTTTTGGGGTGCTACTTTTGGGGTCTAGGTTTCGGGCTGCAGGGGGCCAGCAGAGCTGCTGCCTGTCTGTCCGTCTGTCCCCTACAGCCCTTGGAGACCCCCCCCAAGACCCGAGCACCCCTGGGTGCACCATGCATACCCCCAGGGGGATCCCAAAACCACACCAGGGCGTTCCCAAAACCCCACCAGGAGACCCCAAAACCACAGCAGTGGGTCCCAAACCCACACCAGGGGGTCCCAAAACCACTCCAGGAGACCCCAAAACCACACAAGGGGGTCCAAAACCACACAAGGGGGGTCCCAAAACCACACCAGGAGACCCCAAAACCAGACTTGGAGATCCCCAAACCACTCCAGGAGACCCCAAACCTCACCAGGGGGTCCCAAAACCACTCCAGAAGGTCTCAAAACCAAACCAGGAGATCTCAAAACCACACCAGGGAGTCTCAAAACCACACTTGGAGGGCCCAAAACCCCACCAAGAGGCCCCAAAACCACACCAGGGGGTCCCAAAACCACACCAGGAGACCCAAAACCTCACCAGGGCATCCCAAAACCCCACCAAGAGGCCCCAAAACCTCACCAGGGCGTTCCCAAAACCACACCTGGAGAACCCAAAACCCCACCAGGAGGCCCCAAAACCCCACCAGGAGGCCCCAAAACCCCACCAAGAGGCCCCCAAAACCTCACCAGGACGTTCCCAAACCCCACCAGGAGACCCCAAAACCCCACCAAGAGGCCCCAAAACCACACCAGGGGGTCCCAAAACCACACCAGGTTGTCCCCAAACCCCACCAAGAGGCCCCAAAACCCCACCAAGCGGCCCCAAAACCCAACCGGCTCGCCCCAGAGCCGCCCCCATCGCCCCCCCCTCTCCCCAGGCGCCCCCCACCCCGGCCATGGTGTCGGCGGTGCTGGCCCTGGCCTTCGTGCCGCTGCTGCTGACGCTGCTGCTGCGCTCCCGGCACCTCCTGGCGCTGCTGCTGCGCGCGGTGCTGCTGGGCTGGCTGCGGGATCGGCTCAGCGGGGTGCCCCGCGAGCAGCGCGCCTTCCAGTACCTGCTGGCCAACGCCGTCCCCGGAGACCCCCGCCACGTCCTCAGCACCTTCGACCGCTGGAGCCAGCGCTGCGAGCACCTCAGCTGCGTGGGGCCGGTCAAAGGTGAGCGGGAGGGGGTGGTCGTGGCGCATTTGGCACGGCCACGGTGCCATCGGCACGGCCACGGTGTTACTAGAGGGGTTTGGGCACTGGTGGCACAGCCACGGCACATTTGGCACAGTCGTGGCACTCCTGGCACAGCCACGGGGCTATTGCAAAGCCGTGGCACTGCCGGCACAGCCCTGGCCCCTATTTCGGGGCCACAGAATATTTGGCACAGCTGTGGGGCTTGTGGCAAAGCCACGGTGCTGCGAACACAAGCAGGGCACTGCTGACACAATTGTGGCAGTATTTTAAAGCCATGGCACGTTTGGCACAGCCGTGACACTTCTGGCACAGCCACAGCACATTTGGCACAGCCACAGTGCTCTTTCAAAGCCGTGGCAATGTGGGCACAGCTGTGGCACTGCCAACACAACCCCATCACTATTTCAAAGCCACGGCACGTTTGGCACACTCGTGGCACTTCTGGCACAGCCACGGGGCTATTGCAAAGCCATGGCACTGTTAGCACATTTGTGGCACAATTCCAGAGCCACAGCACATTTGCCACAGCTGTGGCATCGTTGGCACAACCATGGTGTTATTGAAGAGCTGTGGCACCATTGGCACAGCCATGGCACTGCCGGCACAGCCACAGCACCATTTCAGAGCCACAGCATGTTTGGCACAGCCGTGGCACTTACGGCACAGCCACAGTGCTCTTTCAAATCCGTGGCACCATTGGCATAGCCGTGGCACTGTTGGCATAACCATGGCACCATTTCAAAGCCACAGCACGTCTGGCACAGCCATGGCACTTTTGGCACAGCCACGGTGCTCTTTCAAAGCCACGGCACTGTTAGCACATCTGTGGCACTATTTCAAAGCCATAACACATCTGGCACAGCCGTAGCACCGCGGCAGTGCCAAAAGTGCCATTTCAAAGCCACGGCATTGTGGCATATCCGCGGCACTGCCCACAAAGCCACGGTGCCATTTCAAAGCCACGGCACATTTGGCACAGCTGTGGCACCGTCAGCACATCCATGGCACTATACCAAAGCCACAGCACATCTGGCACAGCCGTAGCACCGCAGCAGTGCCAAAAGCCCCATTTCAAAGCGTTGGCATTGTGGCACATCCGTGGCACTGCCTGCAAAGCCACGGTGCCATTTCAAAGCCACAGCATGTTTGACACAGCCATGGCACTGCCGGCACAACCATGGCTAAATTTCAAAGCCACAGCACATTTGGCACAGCTGTGGCACCGCAGCAGTGCCAAAAGTCCCATTTCAAAGCCGTGGCCGTGCCCACCAAGCCATGGCACTCTGGGCAGAGCCGTGGCAAGCCCCCCACCAGCACAGGGGGGCACCGAGCGCCGGCACAGGGGGCACCGAGCCATGCCGTGCCATGCCGTGCCGTGCCAGGCCAGCTGCTGGAGCGGCTGCTGTGCGAGCGGGCCCCACGCACCGTGCTGGAGCTGGGCACCTACTGCGGCTACGGCACCGTGCTGCTGGCCAACGCCATGCCCCCCGGCGCCCGCCTCTACACCGTGGAGCCCGACCCCCGGCACGCCGCCGTGGCCGAGAAGGTGATCCGCCTGGCCGGCTTCGCCGACGAGAAGGTGAGCGGCACAGTGCTGGGGAGCCCCCCGGCACCACGCTGGCGAGGGGCTGGCGAGGAAGCCCAGGCTCCTTCCTTCCTTCCCCGGGCAGGTGGAGCTGATCGTGGGCCCCTCGGCGGAGGTGATCCCGCGGCTGCGGGAGCGGCACGGCTTGCAGCGAGCCCAGTTCGTCTTCATGGCCCACTGGAAGCGCTGCTACCTGCGGGACCTGCGGCTGCTGGAGGAGCACGGGCTGCTGGCCGAGGGGGCCACGGTGCTGGCCGACAACGTGCTCTTCCCCGGGGCGCCTCGTTTCCTGCAGTACGCCCGCAGCTGCGGCCGCTACCGCTGCCGGCTGCACCGAGCCAGCCTGGAGTACTGCCCCGCCATCCCCGCCGGCGTGGCCGAGCTGCGCTACCTGGGCCCGGGCTGAGAAGAGCCGGGGAGGGGGCTGGGGGCGTGGGAAGAGGGGGGGCGAGCAGCCCAAGCGGATTTGGGGCTGTTTCCTACAAAAAAAATACATTTATTAGTACAAAAGTGCGGCGGTGCTCCGGTGCCCCCACCCTGCTGTGTGCCCGGCGGTGCCACCGGGGTCTCCAGCCCCGCCGGGGGGCTCCGTGCCCGGCCCCCTGGAACAGGAGCAGCCCCCAGCCCCAGGGCGGGCAGTGGGGCAGGATTTGCCCCCCACCCCCGAGTCTCTCCAGGTCGGTCGGGACGCGGGGGTTTCAGATCATCCACTGGTCCTGATCCTGCTCGGCCCCCTCCATGTCCACCTGGGGAGGGAAAGGGGGGAACGTGGGCATGGAGGGGGCTGTGGGGTCCAGGGTTGGGGCTGGGGGAGACCCCGAGAGCCCCCGTGTTGGGTACGGGGTCAGGGGGCATGGAGGGGGCTGTGGGTGTGTGGGGGCTGTGGGGTACTGGGGGGGCTGCATGTTGCAGGGTGTGGGGTGCGCGTTGTGGGGGGCAGGTTTTGGGGTGTAGGGTCAGCAGAACCCGTGTCTGTCTGTCCACGCAGCCATACGGGGGGCTGGTTTTGGGGGTAGGTTTTGGGGGGCAGGGGGTCAGCAGAGCTGCTGCCTGTCTGTCCGTCTGTCCCCCCCAGCCCTTGGAGACCCCCCCCAAGACCCGAGCACCCCAGGGTGAACCCCACATTTCCCAGGGGGTCCCAAAAACACACCAGGAGACCCCAAAACCACTCCAGGAGACCCCAAAACCACACAAGGGGGTCCAAAACCACACCGGGGGGTCCCAAAACCACACCGGGGGGTCCCAAAACCAGACTTGGAGATCCCCAAACCACTCCAGGAGACCCCAAACCTCACCAGGGGGTCCCAAAACCACTCCAGAAGATCCCAAAACCAAACCAGGAGATCTCAAAACCTCACCAGGAGATCCCAAAACCCCACCAGGGGGTCCCAAAACCACACCAGGTTGTCCCCAAACCCCACCAAGAGGCCCCAAAACCCCACCAAGCGGCCCCAAACCCCAACCGGCTCGCCCCAGAGCCACCCCCCATCGCCCCCCCCTCTCCCCAGGCGCCCCCCACCCCGGCCATGGTGTCGGCGGTGCTGGCCCTGGCCTTCGTGCCGCTGCTGCTGACGCTGCTGCTGCGCTCCCGGCACCTCCTGGCGCTGCTGCTGCGCGCGGTGCTGCTGGGCTGGCTGCGGGATCGGCTCAGCGGGGTGCCCGCGAGCAGCGCGCCTTCCAGTACCTGCTGGCCAACGCCGTCCCCGGAGACCCCCGCCACGTCCTCAGCACCTTCGACCGCTGGAGCCAGCGCTGCGAGCACCTCAGCTGCGTGGGGCCGGTCAAAGGTGAGCGGGAGGGGGGTGGTCGTGGGCATTTGGCACGGTTCGTGGTGCCTTTGGCATGGCACGTGTTATTAGAGGGGTTTGGGCACTGGTGGCACAGCCACGGCACATTTGGCACGTCGTGGCACTTCTGGCACAGCCACGGGGCATTGCAAAGCGTGGGCATGCCGGCCCAGGGGGGCACATCCCTGCGGGGGGCTCCAGGAGGCTGCGAGGCTCTGGGGGTGCCCCCCCCAGTTTTGGGGTGAGCCCCCCCCTTATCCCAGCTCACGGTGGAGCCCCCCCAGCCCCAAAGTGTGGGGTATGGGGTAAAAAGGGGTCAGGATCTGTCCCCGCAGCCCCCCCCCGGGGGGTGTTTCCCATCCCCACACACCTGGGGGCTGCCAGCAGGTGCTGTAGGGTGGGGGGCAGCCCCCAAAGCTCCCCCAGCCCCACACATAGGCCAGGCGCAGCCCTTGGCTGGGAGAGGGGCGGTTTGTGGGGTGGAGATATGGGGGTGTGGGTTGAGGGGGCCCCCTGCCCATACACATGCCTTTGCCCCTACCCGTACCCGTATTGGGGTGTATGTCCATATATCCACACCCCTGCCTGTCTCTGTACCCGGACCCATTCCCCGTACCCATACCTGTACCCCCTCCCCTGCCTGTACCCTTACCAGTACCCCTGCCCATACTGGTACCCATACACACCCCCATACCCATACCCCTTCCTCTGCCCATACTCACGTCTGCACACATGCCTGTACCTATACCCGTACCCAATACCTGCACCATACCCGTACCTGTACCCATACCTGTACCCATACCTGTACCCATTCCCCATACCCGTACCCATACGCTTACCCCCTCCCCTGCCTGTACCCATACCAGTACCCCTGCCCTTACCTGTACTTGTACCCATACCTGTACCCATACCCGTACCTATAACCCTACCCCTACCTGTACCTGTACCCATACACATGTCCCTTCCCCTGCCTGTACCCGTACCCCTGTCTGTGCCCCTTCCCATACCTGTACCCATACCCCTTCCCCTGCCCATACTCATGTCTGTACACATGCCTGTACCCATACCCGTACCCAATTCCTGCACCATACCTGTCTGTACCCATACCTGTACCCGTACCCCTTCCCATGCCCATATTCAAGTCTGTGCATGTACCCGTGCCCATACCCGTACCCCATCCCCTACCCGTACCCCATCCCCTACCCATACCCATACCTGTACCCATACACGTGCCCTTTCTCCTCCCTGTACCCATACCCACCTGTACCCCTTCCCGTGCCCATACCCGTACCCAATACCCCTAACTGTACCCATACCCTTGCTCGTACCCACACCTGTACCCATACCCATATCTGTACCCGTTCCCCTTCCCGTCCCCAGTACCCGCCCCATACCCCCATCAGTACCCACACCCGTCCCTATACCCATCCAGGGACTGCAGGGGCTGGAAGGAGAAGTCCGGGGGGGGGGGCGTGAGCTCGGGGGGCAGTGGGGGGCACAGCATGGCTGTGGGGACCCCGACCGGGCAGCTGTGGGGCACACAGGGGGGGTCACTGCACCCCAACACCCCCCCATGTCCCCAACATCCCCCCCCATAGCTCACAGCCCCACGGCAGCCCCCTCACCCCCACGGCAGCCCCTGCTCCTGCCCCACACATGGCCTCATATCCCAAGGGACCCCCCCAGGCCTCCAAGTGTCCCCTTGGGACCCCATAGGAGCCCCCCCCCCACCCCTGTGCGTGTCCTCCTGACCCAAACTTGTCCCCAATGACCCCACGCGTGTCCCCGTGCCCCCCCCCAGTGCCCCAAACTTGTCCCCCAATGACCCCACACGTGTCCCCATACCCCTCCCCGTGCCCCAAAAGCCCCCCCCACAACCACAAACATGTCCCAGTGCCCCCCCGTGCCCCAAACATGTCCCCAATGGCCCCACGCGTGTCCCCGTACCCCCCCGGTGCCCCCAACATGTCCCCCCACGAGTGTCCCAGTGCCCCCCCCGTGCCCCAAAAGTCTCCCAATTTCCCCGTGCCCCCCCCCGGTGCCCCAAACTTGTCCCCCAGTGACCCCACGCGTGTCCCCATACCCCCCCCGTGCCCCAAAAGCCCCCCCCACGACCCCACGCGTGTCCCCGTGCCCCAAATTTGTCCCCCCACGAGTGTCCCAGTGCCCCCCCCGCGCCCCAAAAGTCTCCCAATTTCCCCGTGCCCCCCCCAGGTGCCCCAAAAGACCCCCCCACGACCCCACTCGTGTCCCCGTGCCCCCCCCGTGCCCCCAAATCCCTCCCAGCCCCCACCCCGTGCCCCCCCCCGGCCCCTCCCCTCCCCCCCCGTCTCCCTGGCAACGCCCCCCCCGCCGCAACTCTCGCGAGACCCGCGCCCCGCTCCGAGACTTCGCGCCCCCCCCCCCATGCCCCACAACCGCACGCGCCCTCCCGCCCACGTGACGTGACGTCACGGCGCGGCGGCAGCCAATGGCGGCGCGAGGCGGGGCGGGAGCGGCGGTTTGAATCGGCGGGAAGGGGGCGGGGCCTAAAGGGGGCGGGGCCTAAAGGAAGGGGAGGGGCGTGCAGAGGGGCGGGGCCTGCAGAGGCGGGGTGGAGGGGCAGAGGTGAGGGGGGCCTCGCTGCTGCTCCCTGACAGGAAGGGGTGGGGAGCTGGGGGGGGGCCTCTGCTCACAGGGACCCAGGGCCAGGAGCAGAGGGAACGGCCTCGAGTTGTGCCAGGGGAGGCTCAGGTTGGTGGGGACATTGGTGGCAGGGGGTGGTCCTGGGGGGCTTCCCCAACCCTAAAATGGCCCTGGGGGTCTATAGGTGAGCCCATGGGTTGGGGGGATGCCCATAGAGGGGCTGGGGGGGCTGCAAATGCCAATTTGGGGTCGTGGTCTTGGCCCCATCCCAGCACCTGGGGGGTGCAGACCCTGGTTCTGCCCCCAGCAAGGCCCCAGGGGCTCCATGGGGTCAGCCTCACCCCCATCCAGCACAGGAAAAAGGCCAAAAATTGGGAGAAATCAGCCCAGATCCCCCCCAGGGAACCCCCCCGATAAGCTCTGATAAAGGCCTGGCAGTGGGGGGGGAGCCCTGGGTGTCCCCCCCCTGAATCCAGGGGGACCCCTCCCCATTGTCCCCATCCCCTCAAGACCACGGGATCCCAACCAGGGAACAATTTGGGGTGGAAGGGGCCTGGGGGGGTCACCCAGCACCGGAGAGGTTTTGGGGTCGGGGACCCCCCTGGGGGGGCTGCAGAGGGGCCTTCACACCGCGGTGCTCCCCTTGGCTGGCTGCTGTCCTCCTCCAGGACATCTCCAAATTTTGGGGACATCTCCAAATTTTGGGGACATTTCCAAATATTTGGGGACATTTCCAAATTGAGCCAGGGGAAGGCCTCAGTTTGAGGAGTTTCCCAGCCAAAACTCACTTTTCCCCCTCTCCATGCTTCAAACCCCAAACCCCCAGGTCTTGGGACCCCAGAACCCTCTTGGTGAGCACCCCCATGGCCGGTCCCCAAATTCTTCCCCCATCCCACGACCCCACAGGACACCCCCCCCACGGGGCAGGGGTCTTCGTGTGCCCCCTCCCCTCCCGGTGCCTTTTTGTGCCGTGCGCCTTTAACGAGCGCGGCCC